CGGCCATTGGAGGGTGAACCAACGGCAAAGGAAGACCTTTCTCTCTGTCTCTCTCTCTCACTGTCCACTCTGCCTGTCAAAAAAAAAAAAAAAATTAAGTTTACCATTGGAATCATTTTTTTTTTTTTTGACAGAGTGGACAGTGAGACAGACAGAGAGAAAGGTCTTCCTTTTGCCGTTGGTTCACCCTCTAATGGCCACTGTGGCTGGCGCGCTGCAGCTGGCGCACCTCGCTGATCCGATGGCAGGAGCCAGGTACTTCTCCTGGTCTCCCATGGGGTGCAGGGCCCAAGCACTTGGGCCATCCTCCACTGCACTCCCGGGCCATTGCAGAGAGCTGGCCTGGAAGAGGGGCAACTGGAACAGAATCCGGTGCCCTGACCGGGACTAGAACCAGGTGTGCCGGCGCCGCAAGACAGATTAGCCTAGTGAGCCATGGCGCTGGCTGGAATCATTCCTAAACACACTTCAGTAGTACACACTTACATCACTCTGCCATGTCACACTGCACAACCGGATCCATTATTTCCCATTTCCATCTTCCCTCAACTCCTACTAAGCACCATTTTATTGTTTCTGTAATTTTGACCATTCTAATCATTTTTTACCTAAGAGGAATCATACAGTACACATCTTTTTGCTACTTCACTTGGCATACTTTCCACAGGACCCATTCATGTTGCAGCAAGCAGTTTCCTTTTTTAGGCCAAATAATATTCTATTACATGGAAGAACCAATTTTATTCTTTCCCTGATAAACACTGAGCTGCTCTACCTTGTGGCTACTCTGAATAATACTGCTGTGAACGTTTTTGTGCAATTAACCCTTGAGAGCCTCTCATCTTTTGGATATTTACCCAGAATTGGGATTGCCTAATCATACAATGCTGTCTTAAAAACTTTTGGATTGGGGCCGACGCTGTGGCACACAGTGGGTTAATGCCCTGGCCTGAAGCACTGACATCCCATAAGGGTGTCTGGTTAGAGACCCAGCTGCTCTTCTTCAGATCCAGCTCTCTGCTACGGCCTGGGAAAGCAGAAGATGGCCAAAGTCCTTGGGCCCCTGCACCCACGTGGGAAGACCTGGAAGAAGCACCTGGATCCTGCCTTCAGATCGGCACAGCTTCGGCTGTTGCGGTCAATTGGGGAGTGAACCAGCGGATGGAAGACCTCTCTCTCTGCCTCTCCTTCTCTGTGTAACTTTCACTTTCAAATGAATAAATAAATCTTAAAAAAAAAAAAAAAAACTTTTGGACTATCATGCCATTTTCTGTAGTAGCTTCACCATTTACATTCTGTGCACATTTTCACCTTAAAAAAATTAACCATCTCAAGTAGCTATGAAGTGGTATCTCACTGTGGCTTTGGTTTCCGTTTCCCTAATGAATGGTCAAAGACCTTTTTAAAAATGCTGGTTATCTTAAAAGAAATCAATTCCAAATCCTTTGTTCATCTTTCCATCAGTCATTTAGTGTTGTAGTTCTTTATGTAAGGATTTGGAAGTATTTTCTCTCTCTTTAGGTTGCTTTTTCATTGTTGTCACTTGCTATTTTTTCATAAGCAAAATATGTCATACTCAAAAGAACCTTGAGGTTTTACCTTTATACTCAGTATGTTCTAGAGATCACAGAGTAACAGTACAGATCTTTACTGTTTTTCCAACTGCCACAGTAGTGTTGTATGGGTGTACCAGTTTATTCAACCACTGGCATACAAGTATTTCTACAATCAACAGCTTTGTGCATGTTGTTTTACATTTTGTCAATGTACCTGATACACAAGAATAAGTCAAAGTATTAATTTTACAATGTATCATTCCCTCAGAGGCCAAGATTTTTTCAAAGTATTAATTTTACAATGTATCATTCCCTCAGAGGCCAAGATTTTTTTTTTTTTTTTTTTTTTTTGACAGGCAGAGTGGACAGTGAGAGATAGAGAAACAGAGAGAAAGGTCTTCCTTTTGCCGTTGGTTCACCCTCCAATGGCCGGCGCAGCCGGCGCATTGCGCTGATCCGAAGCCAGAAGCCAGGTGCTTTTCCTGGTCTCCCATGTGGGTGCAGGGCCCAAGGACTTGGGCCATCCTCCACTGCACTCCCTGGCCACAGCAGAGAGTTGGCCTGGAAGAGGGGCAACCAGGACTAGAACCCGGTGTGCCGGCGCCACAAGGCGGAGGATTAGCCTATTGAGCCACGGCGCCGGCCCAGAGGCCAAGTTTTATAGTCAAGATTCTTACTATGATTCTTTGGGAGTCTGATAAAACCTCTCTCTAATAGCAATATGAAACACACACACTTCTGCATCTAATTGCAGGATATCCACAATACTCTGAAAAACAGCACAGCACTCTCACCCAAAACTAGATGACTGTGGTGAAGTCTATCTGGGATGAGGATGGTGAATCTGAGTAGCTGTTATTCTGAGTCATCATTGTGAGCACTTTGGAATCTAAATTTAAAACTCTGGGGGAGCGTGTCAAGCTACCACTTGGACATCCAAGTCCTATACTGGCTGCCTCTGTTTTCCATCCAGCTTCTTGCTAATGTGCCTAGGAGGCTCGCTCTCTGATACATTTCCTGGCTCCTGGCTTCAGCCTGGTCAGCTCTAGTTAATGGGGGCATCTGAGGAGTAAGCCAGTGGGTTGAAGATCTCTGTCACTATGCCTGATTTTTTAAATAAGCAGAAATTTAATAAACCATGCTTTAGATTTTTAAACCAATTAAAAAACCTATACATACCAACTCCTGAATTGTGTGCAAAAGTGCTTGTGCTGAGAGACCTCAATGAACTAACAAAAGCACACCTGGTGGAACATTGACAATTTTTAAGGGAAGCGCAACGAATCTGACATCTATAGGATACCACAGGTTATTACTAGCATGAGGTAGCTCAGGATGTTACATACACTATTCCTAATGACATCCTATCTTTGGAAAGCTGGATTTTCAGCAGTTCATATGCTAAAACTCACAGATTGCACAAAAACAAAGTACTACAGGAACAATGGGGTGGTGGTATACAACCTGAAGGTTTGGGGAGCTGTGCAATGACCAACACTTGCACACATCCCATTTGTTAAAACTGTAGTTAAGAATGAAATAAAAACACAGTTCAAAAACTTCATGGAAATGGAAATTATAAATTAAGTTTATTTTTGGTGAAAAAAATTTAAATCCATGCATATGACAGATTTTTGAAATCTTATGGAAAATGCTTATGAAAAACTTATGCATGCTTGAGTATTTTCAAGAAAGTCTAAAAAAAAAAAAAGAAAGAAAAAGAAAAAGAAAGAGAGAGAGAGAGAGGGAGAAAAACACACACATACACAAGGTGAGCTCCCATCTGCTAGCTCACTCCCCAAAGGCTTCCTAGAACTGGTGGCTGAGGAGGTGGAAGCCACGAGCAAGGAACTCAGTCAGGGTCTCCCACATGGATGGCAGTGATCCAACTACTTAGGCCATCAGCCCCTGCCTCCTAAGATTTGCAACAGTAAGGATATGGAGTCAGAAGCCAGAGTTGGGAATTCAGCCCATGTACTCTGCTATCCAACATGGGCATTTAAAACATTAGGCCAGATGACAGCTCCTCATAAACTTTTTGAACTACTCAAAATAGAAAAAATTTCAAATGGTACTAAGTTGTAAGGATTTAAATATCATACAAAAATTATATAATACACATCTATTAGGTATTTCCTTTGGCTTAGGGATTAACTAGCATGCTAGTTTTATTGGGATGTAAGGGTAAAATAAGCAAGTCTGGGAACCTTTGTCATACATTCTTTGCTTTAAATTCAGTTTTAAAAAGTATGACATTTAGTGGTAGTTACTAATTTTAGATACAATCATCTTCGTACTATGAAACAATTATAGTTTTACAAAATGGTTAATAACATTAAATGCATTATATAACCAAGTTAGTTGAGTGAAAGGTAAACACAAGTTACTAGTATTTCTTCCTTATATACACAACTTATTTTAGTTACAACTGGACTGCACATTCTACTAACATTGCACATCAAAAACAAAATGAAGGCCATACAAATATTTTTAAATCAATCACAAAACAACTCAATGAAACCAGTACAGCACACAAAGCAGAAAAAATCCAACTGCTATAATCTGGCAGTTTGGTAAAGGAAATCTGTATATAAAATGTGTAGCAAAGACATAAACTGCAGAACCAAGGCATTTGGGATTCTAAGAAAACTCTGATAGGAGGGGAAAATGCATAAAAGTAATGCATCAGCACTTACAGCATTAGGAAAAAAAAACCACCATGTTTGGAAGAGAAATCTACAAAGAAAACAGAAAAGGCAAATTGATTCCAAAAGTATTTTAATAGTTTGTACAGTTCATATGCAGCACTCACATTTTATATATTCTCCTGGCTAAATAAAGCATTTACCAACACTCCAGATTTTAGTTTAGTACTCTTTTTTAACACTTTTATTCACATACACAAACCTCTGAGTGTTCAGAATGTTTTTCCTACTCATGTGTTTTCCCTAAGTTAACTAGGAAAATTTTCCCTAAATGTGTAATTTAAGTAAAACAAAACAACTAGACAATTTGTTGTATAAAAGTGAATTTGTATATGGCCTTACAACTATAAATATTAAAACTGACAAGCACAGAATATATTAGTCTTCCTAATACTGAGAAATTAAAAGTAATATTCTAGTAGACAGTATTGCAAATTCCTTAAGTTTAACCTTAAAAAGTCTGTTTGTCCAAAAGACATGCTGCAATCTGAAGCATTATAATTACACACTTACACTAGAACTTATTCTGAAACCTGGAAATTGTCACTGCTGGGCAACGGCCAAATTCTTCAAGAAGGTCGGCATTGTTAAACTCTGTTCAGTTTTCTCATAATAAATGTAATTTTTATCTCCAAGGGTAAAATAAAAGTATATTTTAGTTAGCTTAGTTTCATTATTTGCTTTTACTAAAAATAAAGGTCAAAAAACTAGTAACAACTTAAAAAATACAAAACCAAACTGTTGACTATAGTATAGTTTATTTAATACAATGTTTAACTATAAAAATTAATACAGTTTTGAAGATTAAATTTTGTAAAATGCAGAAAACAGTTACTAAAGAATAACGAGAAGCAGCATTTTGAAACTAACTTTACAATTGAGAAGACAACAGTTTTATTTCTAAATTTCATTAAAAAAATATACATCACAGTGACTTCTGAGCTAGGAAAAGAAGTGCATTAACTTCATTATTTTCCCCTTTCACAAAGAGAGCAGCCACAACTTTGAACATCCCCACATAGAAATGCTCAACTCACTTATCAATCTTTCAAAGCACTATAAACATACAAAAGGGGAAGAAAATATACAGCATGTGCTTTTGGTAACATAAGAAATTTGCTTTAAAAAATAAAATAAAAGCATGTACCAGTCCCTCTGCTACCTCCTGTGTGTGCACGAGTGTGCATGCGCGCACACACACACACACACCCCTCTCTTTCAACCTTGCTGATGGGATTTTCTTATTCACGTGACTTCCTTTTCTTTTCCTTTAATACTTACTACTTTGTCACACAATAGGCCAGAGAATTTTCATTTGCCTGAATCCCTTCAATGCAGTTGAGAAGCCCACTGTGGGAAGGTGTGCCAGCCAAAGATGCACTTTTTGGGGCTTACTTTATTAATTCTCTAACCAAGTATTTGTAACAAAACACACTTTTACAAAATAAATGTCATCAGCCTAGTCCCTGGAGTTTTTTCAACTGTAAAAGTATGAGTCCAAAGCAGAGTAACTACAGTAAACACAACTAAAAGTAAACAGAAAAATACTCATTTTGTTTCTTTAAAACAATCAATTACATGGTACATATGTAAATTTGCCTTCTGGTGAAGGCAAACTCAACAAGTTTCTACAGAAGTTTAATATAAAAAGTTCAGTGCGATGAAAACCATTGCCATCTGGACCAAAGCACAATAAAGTACTAAAAGACATACTAACTGGCTCTAAATGCTAAGTAGAAAATACACTAGAATTGTTAGTGAATACCACTACTCAAAATAACAAACTCAATGTGTGTCTGCCAATAAGATAAAGAAATCTTTACTGGTTTTACTTTCACACCTTCCATTGAGCAGAACAATCAAAGGCCATTAGCAAAGTCAACATGCAATAGTATCACACCTGTGCAAAGACAGATTTATCAAAGGAGTTCTTTGCAACTTCTGAGGGCGTCAATTAAGTGACTTAAACGACAATGCTCTCCGAACTTAACTAGAGTAATTTAAGAATGTTCTAGAACAAACACTCTCTACTGCATATTTTACATTAATCTCTTTTGTCAATTTCTGTAGTAGCTGTTTACCCAGCTACTACACACAATTCTACATAATGAAGAAATTTTCAGTTACCACCAATCAAGCAAAAACAAAAACAAAAATGGCATACTTAAACTATCTTTAAATGGATAAAAGGTTATGAAATTAAAAATAGTTTGACATGAACTACGTAAGCTCAGCTATGAATGTAAAATCAACTTGATGGAAAAACCAGTAACTGACACTTAGAAAAACAATGTTCAAAATAAAACTAAAGATAACACAACTATTAAAAATGTAAGGAAAGAAAAGGACCATTTTGAGCTGTGTCATTACAATACAAGGGCAGACTTGAGGTACAGTTAGTGCTGCTTAATTATTTTCCTAAGATTCTTTACATTCTGAAAACAAAATCTAGTTGATTGTCCTCTCTCATTTCAACTACTTCACCACACTTGTTCTGCAAAACCAGCTAACAAAGCTTAAAAAAAAAAAAAAAAGGCCTATAAATAATGCTTGGCATGGAGTTGCTCTTCTGATAACCCAAACAGGAGAATATTACTTAATTGAAAATTTCCCCTCATGGTAACTGTTTTAAACTAAGATTCGGACAGTTCTCGTCCATAATTTTTAAGAGATAAAGCTCTGGGATCAGACAAGATAGAAGTATGTTTCCCTAGCATGGCCTTTTTTTTTTTTAGAAATCCTTTCTTTAATTGAACCTTTCTTTAAACTTGATAATTTATAACAAAGATTTTGAAATGCAAGTCACTGAATTTAAGACAAAATAATTTGATTAAAATACACAATAGATTATACAGCTTGTGCACTAAGACTCAATTATCCCTAATGTGGAATTATGGTCAGTCTCTTAAAGAACTGATCACTCTGGATTATAATAAACATCTAGTTTTACCATGATCAGACAGAAAAATATCAGAAAAAATCCACTGTGGATATTTGCTTCAAGGTATTCCCAAGTTAGGATCCAAATGTATCACTGTTGGCATTAATCTTAATGGGAAGTATCAAGTTAAGCATTGCTTCATTCAATACAAACAGCATTGAGTAGCTACTGATTTACTCAGAAGCCAACTTGGTAACAGAATTGACACTATAGTGACAAATATTAAAGTATAACTCTCTCTAGAGACTACAGGATTCAGAATTTTAAAATTTCTTTTCAAATGAGGCAGGTTTTGTGTTTGTTGGATGTTCAATGTTTTATTTGGGAGATTTTACAGGATAACATCACAAAAATAGCAAAATACAATGCACAAAACTCTGAATAGATTTTGGATATGTTCAGTGTTTAAGTTACCAAGTTTTGCAACTTTCTACTCTATTCTATGCGGCAATGTTATACATGCCCAATTAAAATAATGTTAATAATAATGGTATAAAGTCACCTGAACAAAAAGAAATCAGAGTCATAAACATGCAACAGCCGATCATGGAACACATACAGAAAAGATGGATATTCTTGCCATTTGAAACTCACAGCTATCAGAGTTAAAGAAGTCACTTCAAGTTTTAAAAAACAAAAACCATGCAGACTTATCACTCAACATTATATAGGTTAGGGCCAAAAAAGAGAAATCTTAGAAGCTAATGTGTAAATACTAACAATTTTTAGGATCTTTCTAGCTTAAGTATTATGTTTTAGTGAAAAAAGTATTTTTCTTTTAGAAGATAGCAATAACAACAGTAATAAAACAATGTTCTCAAAAACCAACAATTTCAACTCTTCAGACCAAAAACAACATAGAATTAAGAATTACAACCCAGCCTTCCAAAGAATAATTCCCGTCAAATGCTGTACAATAGGAACATAGGCTTGATCAGCACATCAACTGAAAAAAATATTTATGATTTTAAAAGGCAGTTAAGTAAAACAAAACCAAACAAAATGGCTACAGCTGGAACCATAAAGAATAAGGTATAAAGCACTTTATAAATAACTAAATATTTATCTATTTTAAAGCACAAATTACTGTAGAATCAAAAAAACTGTCCAAGATCTCAAGCTGACAAAATCCTGCTTCTGTATAATTCAAAAAAATTGCTGCAAGCCTCCATCACAAATGTAATCAGAAAAATCCATACTAGATTTCTACTAGTTTCTAAAGTTACTTTAATCATGAAAAACAAGAACTTTTTTTAAACAATGTATTCCAACAATCATTAAGCTTATTTCCAAGCGATGATTAAAGAAATTGGATGCTACTGGTTGACTGCTGCAACACAAAAATGCATACATAAAATAGTTTAACACAGCACACAGTGTTACACCAAAGTGTTTTTCTCATTTCAAGTTTATTAAAACTTTAGCAGTACAAATTATCCAGGTGCAGATTATCAAAAGATCAACTCAATGAAGTCCACATTAAAAAAAAAAAAAGACAAACATAAAACAACCCCAAAACAATGAAAACAACATAAAGGAGATTCATCAGCCAAGTCTGTAAAACTTAAAATTTGAGACAAAAATGAAGTAAGTATACAGGACTCACTCATCCACTTTTGTCTTCATCTGTTCCAGGGCTTGATTCATGATCAAATTTTTTGTTTTTATCATGTACATGGTCATTTTCTTGACCCTTTGATTTTTGGTATTCTTTTTCAACTGAGGATCTCGTCTTCTCATCTTCCTTATTTTTCAACGAGGAAGACTTTAATTCATTGTCCTGACTGCTTTGTTTCATTTTCGAGAATGGACTTGGATCTCTATCAGATTTTTTTTCCCTGTTATTTGAACTATTATGATCACGACTTTTAGAGTACATTCTTTTCTCACTCTCAGAATTTTCTTTTCTATGGGAACTCTTACTTTCTTGGTTTCTGTATTTTTCTCTGTTTCGGTTTTGACTTTCTTCTCTCTCTGAACTCCGGGAATCTCTCCTCCTCCTCCTCCTGTCTTTACTTCTGGATCTTCCTGGTGTTGCTCGTCTCTCTCTGCTGCGGGATCTTCCTCTTCTCCTGTACTCCAGTTCTCTGTATCTATGGTACTCCTTGCTTCTGCTGCGATCTCTGTCGTGGCTTCTAGATCTCACTCTTCTGCTCCTGTCCCTACTTCTGCTCCGTTCCCTTGTTCTACTATTGTAACTGTGCTTACTTTTAGTTATATCTCGTTCTCTACTCTTAGATTGTGCACGTCTATCCTTTTCCTTACTTTTATTATGATCATGCTCATTACTTTTCAATTCTAATTGTTTAGACTTCTCTTTACTTCTACTCCTTTCCTGATCTTTTCCTTTAGAATCTAATGGCTTTTCTTTTTCTTTAATATTCTCATGATCTCTTTCTTTGCTCCTTGACCTCATCCTCTTTTCTTCGTGTCTATTATGTTTTGAATCTCTTTCCTTACTCTTTGATTTCTCTTTGCTCTTACTTCTGCTTTTAGATTTGGCCCTTTTCTTCACTTTGTTTTTATTATATTTTTCATCTTTTTCAGAGTTTTTTCTGATCTCTCTCTCTTTGCTGTTAGATTTATGCTCTTTAACTTTCTTTTCCTTTTCATTTTTTCTGTTTGGACTCTCAGACACATGCCTGTGGTCAATTACTTTTCTCTCTTTTACCCTAATTGGGCTTCTTTGATTTTCTTTTATTTCATTCAACTCACTCCTAAAAAATAAGGAAAAAAAATATTTTCAGAAATGTTACCAAGTAAAGAATGGTGTAAATTTTAGCTACAATGATATTCTATTTTCCTTAAGGTACAGAGAAATAATTAAAATGGCATTAACAAAGTAACTATGTACAATAGTTAAAATATACTTATCACTACATTTTAAGTGATAAAGTTAAATCTTACTTATCCCCTTTGATCCATCTTTCACCACTTGATACCCTCATTCTTTGAGCTCTTTGCATCTCTTGCCTCCAATGTGGAGGAGTCTCACTACGTCTGAAACGATCCCTTGATCTGGATCTGGAAGGAGTTCGATAACGCTTAAGAAAATAAAAAGGGGAAAAATTAATGAATAAAAATACTTGCCTCTCAAATATCTTTAAAAATAAATAAGTATTATAGCAATAACTAGTATATATTCTTCTTGGTTCAAATAAAATGTCTGATATTTCTATGGCTTTAAAATTTCCAAATTTTCAGACAGGAAATCAATAAAGCACTTTAAATAGTTATACCAATGATTCCAAGTAAGAAACATTAACCACAGAAACTTACAAGTTAGCCACTTGTATCTTAACACGGAACAACAGTCATATTCAAGTGATGCTAGATCAAACTCTTATGAGTTACAAAGTTCCAATTTGATGTGTCCCACATTAAGAGAAAAACTTAATAAATGTGCAGATGTTTATTTATTCAACCAAAATTCATTCAGCCCTTGGAGAGTTAACCACTCTACCACATATTGAGGAACGTTAGTGAGCCAAGAAATATTTGACTTTGCTCACCTGGAACGTGTATTCCATGGGCAGAACACATGAAAAGACATATAATCACTATTATTAAACATAGATGCAGCTAAAAAAGTAGGAGTGTAAATGGAAAAGAGCTGCTCCCAAAAAAATCGCAGAGTGATCTGACCTAGTATGGTAGTATGAATAGTTAAGACAATGAAATCTGAGAACCAAAGAATGCTCATGATGAGTTACCTAGGGAAGGATAAGGAAACAAGAGGCTTGTAAAGGGGCTAAGGATAAACGAGTGAAGAGCAACAGAGATTAGGCAGAAAAAATACCATGTCTATACAGCGGGTTTTAGATATTATTAGAAGACAGATTAGGATTATTATAGCTAAAGCTAAAATAGGAAAAAAGAAGGAAATATAGAACTAGATACTTCTAAGAAAGTAAGCCTGCACTAAGTTTTGTGAAGTCTTGTAGGCTATCATAGAAATTTTGGATTTGTCCTAATATTAATGGTAAAAGAGGGACATAATGGTAAAGGAGATACTTTTTTAAAAAATAGTTATTTTATGCATTTGAAAGGCAGTTACAGAAAGAAGGAGAGACAGACAGAATCTTCCATCTGCTGATTCACTCCAAAAATGGCCACAACGGCCAGAGGTGGGCCAGGCCAAAGCTAGGAGCCAGGATCCTCTTCCAGGTTCTTGGGCCATCTTCTACTGCTTTCCCAGGTACATTAGCAAGGAGCTAGATCAGAAGTACAGCAACTGGGACTTGAACTGGCACCTAAATGTGATGCCAGTGGTTTTTCATTTCTAAATGACATTTCTGTTACTGTTAAGAAAAAGAACTACAAAAAGAAAAGAAAGAAAAAGAAAAAAAAAAAAAAAGACTGGGGCCAGAGTTGTGGCACAGCAGATAAAGCTGCTGCCTGTCACGCTGACATCCCATATGGACACTGGTTTGAGATCCAGCTACTTCACTTCCTATCCAAGTCCCTGCTCAAGTGCCTGAGAAGCAGAAGATGGCCCCAGTGCCTTGGCCTCTGCATCCATGTGGGAAACCTAGAAAAAGCCCCAAGTTCTTGGCTTCTGCCTGGCACAGCCCCCACCACTCTGGTCATTTGGGGAGTAACTCAGTGGATGGAAAATTTCTCTTTCTCTCCCTCTCTCTCTAAAACTGCCTTTCAAATATGAAAAAAATTTTTAAAAAAAGAAAGAAAAAGGACTAGATCAGTTATTTGCAAACTGTGATCTAGGGATCCCACATTTTGGGGATCTAAGAGGTCAAAACTACTTCAAAATAATATATTATCTGCCTTTCCACTTTCAATCTTTCATTAGCATATAGTGTAGTCATTCAGAGATCACATATGTGTTCTGATATTATCGTCCTCATAGCTACTAGAATATGTTCTTACATAGTCTTATGTTTTAAATATTACTCATTTTAATTTTTTAAAGATTTATTTATTAATTTGAGAGGCAGAATTACAAAGAGAGGGAGAGACAGACAGAAAGTGAGCTCTTCCATCCTCTGGTTCACTCCCTAATTGACCACAATGGCTGGAGCCAGGAGAATCCAAAGCCAGGAGCCAAGCGCTTGTTCTGGGTTTCCAACTTGGATACAGGGGCCCAAGGATTTGTGTCATCTTATGCTGCTTTTCCAGACACATTAGCAGGGAGCTGGATTGGAAGCAGAGCAGCCAGGAGTTGAACTGGCATCATATGGGATGCCAGTGCCACAGGCAGAGGCTTAAATTACTACATCACAGTGCCAACCCCTCATTTTATACAACTCACATCAGTTAAAGCTCTTTTGGGTCTTCAATAATTTTTAACAGTGTGAACCAGAACTGAGACCAAAAAAGTTTGAGAATTACCAAAATACAAATTAGAAAGCCATTTACAGATTGGACAATATGATGATAAGCTGAATTAACATGGCAAGAGTAAAATTTTCTGAAAGTAGATAGATTTCAGAGTATTTAGTACGTAAAATTGAGAAGACTTCAGAATTAATAAGATATATGAGGCATGAATTAAAAGGGAAAATCAAAATGATTCCTGGGCTTTAGGTTTAAGAACTGTGCAGTCTGTACTGCTACTCACTGAGACCAGGAACCTAAAGAAGGATTAGATCTGAAGGGGAAGTGCTTATGCTCATCTCTTGACAGGCTAAGTTTGCAGTATTCCTTAGTCAAATAAACCTTTGGTGGCAAGAACAGATGAAATTTGATAACTATCAACTATCAATTACTCCCAGCCATGGGAGTAATCAGACTGTCCATGGAACACATATAGTATGAAGAGTTGGAACTCTGAAGTAGTGTAATAGTTAACAGTCAGATAGAGGACTATGAACTAGAACTAGAGACAAAGACAGGAAGAAAATGTGACAAAAACAACAAGGAGGGAATATTACAAGGAGAGAGCTAAAAGGAAGACTGCAAAGGATATATTGGATTTTGTGACATGAAGCTGACTATATTGCAAATGCTATTTTTAGTAGAATACTAATGATAAGAAGACACACTGAAATACTGCAGGAATGAGTTAGAAATAAGGAAGTATAGTTAAGTTTCTAAAGTTTTGAAAACACAAGGAGACATTTCCATTCTGATGAAGACAATACAGTAAACAGAAAGAGAATGAAACACGAGAAAATTATTAATTCCTTCTTTACTTTGAACAAGAATAGAGGTATGGTGGGCAGAAACTAACAAAGGCCACAGAAAATTTCAATCCCATTTTATACCATGTAACTGTAAAATCCATTTATATCTCATGGATTTTAGAGCTAGAAGTATCAACATGCAAAGTTACTATAAAATACAGGTGGAGAACCATTTTTCTGCTAAGGGCCATTTGGAAACTTGTAACATCATTCACAGGCCATACGAAATTATCAACTTAAAAACAGGCCTATTACAGTTTTATCTCGAGTCCTGCATGTGGTTGCCTTGGCAGGGCCAGATCAAATTATTTCATAGGCATTATATAGCCTATGGACCTGATGTTCCCCACTCCTGCTATAAAAAGAGACTATGAATTCAATATTCACATCTTCCTTAAATTTAGGAACCTGTTCAGTAAAATAACATCTAGAAAAACACTCAAAGTATTTAAGAAAGATAAATTCAATACTATTAAGATTTCTGGAGAAAGAATCACCTACCCTTGGTCCTCTTCCTTTAATTTTTCTGCCAGACCTAGTAACTAAAAGCCGTCTCTGGTATGACGCAGGCTGGGAGTTAGGCAGGTTGCTAGAAGGAACCAAAATAATTGTTAATACATATTGACTTTATAAAACTGAATATGGAGAATATAGTTTTGCTGACTGTAAATAGATTCAAAACAATAATCAGTAATTCTCAACCCAAAATGCTATCAATTCCTAGCAAATATCTGGAAAAGTATGGGAGCATTTCTTCAGCTGTCAGTGAGTAGACTATCACCAGTTCTTAGTGCTCAGGAGTCAGAAACACTAAGTTTTGTAATGTGTGAGGATGAAGAACAATGTTGCCCCAAAATGCTCATCATGCCTTGTCAAGAAACAATTATGGCCGGCGCCGCGGCTCACTAGGCTAATCCTCTGCCTTGCGGTGCCGGCACACCGGGTTCTAGTCCCGGTCGGGGTGCTGGATTCTGTCCCGGTTGCCCCTCTTCCAGGCCAGCTCTCTGCTGTGGCCAGGGAGTGCAGTGGAGGATGGCCCAGGTGCTTGGGCCCTGCACCCCATGGGAGACCAGGAAAAGCACCTGGCTCCTGCCATCGGATCAGCGCGGTGCGCCGGCCGCGGCGGCCATTGGAGGGTGAACCAACGGCAAAGGAAGACCTTTCTCTCTGTCTCTCTCTCTCTCAATGTCCACTCTATCAAAAAAAAAAAAAACCAAACCTCACTTCTAATATGAAGCTAATTGATAACGCTAAAGAATATCAACACAGAAGAGTTCAGAAGTGGTACATGCTTTTCAGAGAACAATTTTAAAGTATCTTATCCCACAGTATCTTGTTATCCTATTGGTAACAGAACTATGGAAGAGGGAGGGGGAAAAAGGGTTGGACCATGGTTGGGAGGGAGGATAGGGTGGGAAGTATCACTATGTTCCTAAATATGTATATATGAAATACACGAAACTTGTATAACAAATAAAATTTTAAAAAAGAAAAATAAATAAATAAAAAACAGGGAAAAAAAAATAAAATAATGTGAATCACAGAGATAAACTTGTGTGAATTAGGAAATGTTCACATAATAAAAGGGGAAATCATGTTTTCAAATAGTCATATGAGGTAATATTTAATCAGTACATTCACAAAAGTTCACCCTAATATAGTTCAAATAGTCTCTTGTACTTTATTTCCTTAGAAACATCTCTTCCTATACTAGCAGAAAAATAAACTCAACTTAGGACCACACTGTGGCACAGTGGGTTAGGCTACTGCTTCTAACATCAGCATCCCATTTCAGAGTGACAGTTCAAGACCCAAGTTACGGCTACTCCATTTCCAATCCAGCTTCCAGATAGTCCAAGTACTTGGGTCCTGCCACTCATGGGAGACCAAGATGTACACGTTCCTGGATTTAGCCTGGCCCAGACCTGGCTGTTGCAGCCTTTTGGGAAGTGAATCTGTCACTGTACTTTTCAAATAAATAAATATAAAAAAAAAAAAAAAGAAAAGAAAAATACACTCAACTGAATTCATTAAAATCACCCTAAATATCAAATAAGTCATTTTTACTGTTGTACTGTAAAAGCATAAGGGGATCACGTGGAATGTTATTACTTGTATGTTTGCTCATAACTAAGAAAGACTTCAATTTTTTTTTTACTAACTTTAGACATTACTATTAAAACAATTCACAAAGAACCAACAGGACTGATTAATATGGATTTATCTAGAAAAATTTCAAAGTAGTTGAACATGATATCAGCTTTAATTACCACACACTGTAAACCTGATAAGGAACACAGGATATTTTCCTATTACATATATTTTAAAAACAAGCTTAAGAGTTTAATGCACACAAATAACACAGTTAAGACCCTATGTTGTTTTACTGGTTTAACAATACTTTGTTATTGATTTCACCTAGTATGTTGTCTTCATATCTGTAGTGCCTACTATCTCATAAAGTAAATTTTACCAAAAATCTGCTTGTAATATAACTCAATTTATCTTTCTAGCTATGTACATGGTTATCAAAAAGGAGTTTCGCTAATAATATCCTATAAAAAAAAAGATTTCAACTTTGGGACAAGGTCACTAAGTAAATTTGTCTAAAGTTAAGTAAAAACTTTTCAAAGTGAGGAAAAGTTCTAAGTTTAAAGTATGTAGGGCACTCTATAAAAAATACACATTTACATACCACTCTCTCTCTCTTTCTCTCTCTCTGTTTTTCCTTTCCTTGTCATCAGCTTTAGGAGGACTTTTTCTCATTAGGAATCTATTTTCTGGTATAGGAGGGATCTCTTCTGGACGGACAGTAGACTGGGGCTGCACTTCAAGATTCTCAGCTTCACTTTCACTAGATGCACTTAACAGAAACACAGAAAACAATTGACATTTGGTTATTATGTACATATTCAAAATATCAATTGTTGATATACCCCTTATATTGTAATATACAGACAACTCGATCCCTCCCAAAGATGTGGTCACAGGTAAAATCTAACTCCATCCTCTGACAAATTGACTAATGAAAGCCCCAAACAAACTATTTCTGTATATTCTCAAAAAGTATTTTGCCATAAAATGAGTCTAAAATATGACAGGTGGGGCAGGTGTTGTGGCAGTGGGTAAAGCTGCTGCCTGTGATGCCAGCATCCCACTCCACTTCCTCATCCTCCTCCACCTCCAATCGAGCTCTCTGATAAAGGCCTAGGAAAGCAGTGGAAGATGGCCCAGTATTTGGACCTCTGCAACCATGTGGGAGACCCGGAAGAAGCTCCTGGCTTTGGATCAGTCCAGCTCTGGCCGTTGCAGCCGTTTGGGGAGTGAATCAGCAGATGGAAGATCTGTCTTTCCCTCTCTTTCTGTAACTCTGTCTTTCAAATATATAAACACATCTTAAAAAAAAAATAAATAAAATAATTGCTTTGGAGGTCACAGGAAGATAAAGACAAATTTTAGTCCAAACACAGATTATTTTGAACAAAATGGAAAAGAAACTAAATTATGTGAGCATTATGTGTTTTCTTCCTTTATGCTATCATAACAGCAAGAGAGATAATGGACAAAAAAGCACAACAGCCCACCATATAAAACAATGAAAACAAGTTGGTTTCCTATATTCTCATTAATCCTATGGTCCTCCCATACAATGTACAAGCCTATAAAACCAAAAGCATCACTCTACTGAATGAACATAAAACAAACAAAGGTTTTTTTTTTTTAAATGGAAATCCATGTACCCAAATTTAATTTACAGTTGACAGAATGTTGACACTGATCTTATGATGTTTCATGGTATAAAAGATTCCTATTTTAATTGATCTAAAACATCAATAAATTTATTTATAAACAGAGGGAACCAGAATATAAAGGTAGGATTATGAAATTAAAGACCTTTTCTTGCTTTTCTTTCGCTTCTTCTTTTCTTTCTTGTGTTTTCGGGAATTTTTCCGATGTTTCTTTTTTCTTTTTTTTGATTTCTCTTCAGAAGCACTTTCAGAATCAGAAGAATCAGAAGAGGACTGAGAATCACTTGAGCTATCTGAATCACTGGATGATGAGGAGGAAGATGATGATGACTTATGCCTTTTCTTTTCTTCTTTCTTAACTTTAATGAAAACAAAAAGGTTATAGGCACCAGTTTTCAGACAACCTTTGTAAGTGGAAATTAAATTTTTTCGGCAGACTTTCACTGAGTCTGGTATTTAACTCTCAGCTTATCCAGCTACCTGATCTGATAGGTATATGAATGGAATTAGGTATGACACAGGATTAGAATCCAGATCTACAGATCTGTGGGTCAACACAAACAATTTTTGAAAAGTATCATCTAAAATGCTAAACTAAATTAATGTTAAGAAATACTAAGTTTTAATGAAGTACAACTAAGATTCCCAGATTCAAATCTTCTTTTTTCTACTTTTTCTCTTCTCAAGATTGGAAGTAAAACTGGAATAAGAAAATAATTTAAAAAAATACTCAACATGAAGAGATAAGAAACATGATTCTAAAGACATGAGGCTTATGTTTTAATGCCTGAGTATTCTTCTAGTGATTAGGAAATCTAGCTTCAGTTGAAGAGCAGATTCACAATTCATAATTTGAAGGGAAGTCATGTGCCCATGATGAGTAACTGTGTTTTGATATGTCTATGAAAAGTAATTTTTCAAGCTGAAACTTGGGTTAAGGAATTAAATGATTTTTAAACAGACCCAAAATTTCAAATGCTCTCTGGACCAGGCAACTAACAAACATGAAGCTAACAAGATATATCACATAGAAATTTGAGGAAGAAATAACAAACTGAGTAGTGTCTGATTATTTAATAATATGTTAATTCAAAGCATAATGGGTTTATCCTTTATTTAAAGACTATATTTACTTATTTTAGAGATGAAGTTAAAGACAGAGAGAGGGAGACAGAGAGAAAGGTCTTCCATTTTCTGGTTCACTCCAAATGGCTGCAATGGCCAGAGTTGAGCTGATCCCAGGCAAAGAACTTCTTCTGGGTCTACCACATGGGTGCAGGGCCCAAGCACTTGGACCATCTTCCACTGCTTTCCCAGGTCATAAGCAGAGAGGTGGATTGGAAGAGAAAGAGCTAAGACATGAACCAGTGCCTACGTGGGATGATGGTGATGCAGATGGACACTTAGCCTACTACACCACAGCGCTGGCCATTAGCATGGTTGTTTTGAAGAGACTAAATCAGGCCAAAGATGGAAAACTGATATATGGGTGGTAATAACAACACACTAGAAAATAGTAAATATATTTAAATCCATTATCTCATAGTGATATTGATATTGCTACACTTAAGAATGGGAATGAGGTATAAAAGCTAATGTATGGGGGGTGGGTGACGCTATAGCACAGCAGGGTAAAGCCACTGCCTGCAGTGCCAGATTCCATACGGGCACCAGTTCTAGTCCCGACTGTTTCACTTCCAATCCAGCTCTCTGCTATGGCTTGGAAAGCAATGGGAGATGGCCCAAGTGCTTGGGCCCCTGCATTCATGTGGGAGACCCAGAAGAAACTCCTGGCTCCTGGCTTAGGCCTGGTCCAGCCTGACTGTTGCGGCCATTTGGGAAGTGAACCAGTGGATAGAAGACCTCTTTCTCTGTCTTCCCTCTCCCCCTCTCTAACTTTGTCTTTCAATTAATAGAATGTTAAAAAAGAAAAAATGTTGATGTAAAGGCCTCATTCAACCAAGCTGAGTCCACCTTTCTCATCCAGCCATGTTCCTCAGGACCTGAATCTATTATATGTAGTACCTAGACACCATTAACAGTTTCACTATGTTGTTGCTTTGCCAGGTGTACTGTTTCCTATCCTGTATTTTTTTTTTAAAGGTAAGTAAACTTAGCGTTGGGAAAAGCCTATTCTTTCTCACGAGTCTAGCTGTGATTCTGAACCCCCAATCATTGCTGCTGCTAATGCAGAATAGGTAAGCAAACATGTAAAAAGTGAAAAATCTATGTTTATACATATATACATATATTTAGTATAATATATGTACTAAAATAAAAGTCTGAGAGGTATGCAGGAGAAAGAGGAATAGAAAATTTCTAAAGGAATCTAAAAGAGCGAAATAAATTCATAAGATATGAGTAACTTTAAATAAAAATCAGACTATATACAAATAATATATACAAGTATATATAAACAAGTAAAATGAAAATAATCCACATAAACACAAAATATGCATGTTAAAAATATTTGCTAACAGGCCAGCGCCTTGGCTCAATAGGCTAATCCTTCGCCTGCGGCGCCGGCACACCGGGTTCTAGTCCCGGTCAGGGCGCCGGATTCTGTCCCGGTTGCCCCTCTTCCAGGCCAGCTCTCTGCTGTGGCCAGGGAGTGCAGTGGAGGATGGCCCAAGTGCTTGGGCCCTGCACCCCAAGGGAGACCAGGAGAACCACCTGGCTCCTGCCATCGGATCAGCGCGGTGCGCCAGCCGCAGCGGCCATTGGAAGGTGAACCAACGGAAAAAGGAAGACCTTTCTCTCTGTCTCTCTCTCTCACTGTCCACTTTGCCTGTCCAAAAAAAAAAAAAGAAAAAAATTGATAACATAAAATATGAAGACTGTTTGCAAATGGGTAGGGTGGATATGGAGCAGGGTTTTTTCCTTAATGCTTATGAAATAAAAAATGCAGTTTTATGAAAAAAAAATTGATAAAAGTAGCATTTTACCCCATGAATAATAAAGGTTCTTCGCCAGCTCCAATTTATATTTATTTCATTTTGGGACTCTTTCCTATGAGAAATACACTGCAGTGGATTTATTTTGAAAACAGTCTGCCCTGCCCCACAAATATATTTTTAAGTCACCATTATTTAATTTTTGCATCATTTTGAAGAAATCATCTTATTAAAGATACCAAAATAGCATGGTAAGACAATAAAGAGACTCCTAACTATTTGTATAATAATATAATGCACCTAAGTATCAGGCAGTATTAAGTATAAAAGAAAAAGACTGTTTTAGAAATGGTGTTTGAAATACAGCTTAGAAAGCTCTAATACTGAAACATCCTCTCTTTTCAGATTTGTTAATATTATGCTTGAGTAAACTTTAATTTATCCTTTTCCTATGAATCTGTTCAGAAAAAGAGAGAAAATGGTTAAGGAACAAATGGCAATTAAAAAACAGAAAGGTAAAACAGCAAAAATGGAGATATAACAATAGCAATATTACTTCTGGTAGACTGTAACTTGAGACTAAAATCTATGTTAACCTAAAATTTAAAAATATGATTAAGGTGCTTCAGAATATGAGTAAAATACTATCTTTCAGTATGTTTAAATTAACAGTCCATATATATGTATAAATTAACAGTCCAGTATGTTTAAATTAACAGTCCATGTATATATATATATATATAGAGAGAGAGAGAGAGAGAGAAAGTCAACATAACACTGGGGCATGGACATGAAGAATTAAAGATAATAGGGCAAAGTTATAGAGAAAATCAGATACAACATGGGCCCTGTACTCACCAAGCTTATACCCTATTTGGACAATACAGGCCAGAAAATGAGTTCAATAGCAAACAGCATCAGAAAATATTTTAGTAACACATTTTATGGACATCGTCTACTAACTGTATATGGATTTAGAGGTAAGTAGCAATAGAGTAGAAAGGCTTTGAGGAAGTATAGTCAGTTCTGCCGTAACACATACAAAGTGGCCTTAGAAGTAATCTTGTTTTTAACAGCCAAATGATCTTTAATAAAACTGTTAAGAATACAACTATGGAAAGGACAGCTCTTTCAATAAATAGTGCTGGTAAAACTGTATATCCACATGCCGAAGAATGAAACTAGATGTCTATTACTACATACAAAAATCAACTCAATGAATTAAAAACCTACACGTAAGACAAGCAACTACTAGACGAGAAAACAGAGGAAATCCTTCAAAAATATTGGAATGGCCAGGATTTCTTGGATCAGGCAACAAAAGCAAAAATAGACAAATGAGATTTCATCAAACTAGAGAATTTCTGCACAGCAAAGGAAAATAAGCAAAAGAGTAAACAGACAACCTATAGAATGAGAGAAAAGATCTGTAAACTATCCACTTGACAAAGCGTTAATAATCAGACTACATAAGCAACATAACACCATTGCAAAAACAAAAAAAGAAGCCAAAAAATTTAAATGAGCAGTAGAAACAGTTATATCTCAGAGGAGGACATACAAATGGTCAAGAGGAACATGAAAAAGTTCAACATCACTAATCAGGAAAATATGAATCCAAACTATAATGAGATATCACCTCACTCCAATAAATTGGTTATCATTGAAAAGACACCAAGTGCTTGCATGGATATGGAAAAAAAGCAACCCTTGCACACTGTTGGTGGGAATGTAAATGTAAATTAAATACAGCCATCATGGAAAACACAGAGGTTCTTTAAAAAAAACAAAACTAGAATACCATATGATCCAGTGATTCCACTACTGGGTGTATATACAAGACAAATGAAATCAGTCCATTGAATGCCTCTCATGTTTTCTGCAGCAGTACTGACAGTAGCCAAGAAATGGGGACAACCAGGTAACCATAAGCTGAGAATGGATAAAGAAAACGTGGTATGTAAATACAATGAATACTACTTAGCTACAAAAAGAATGATATCTTGTCATTTGCAACAACATGGATGGAGCTAGATACAGGTCATTATGTTAAGCAAAACAAGCTAAGCACAGCAAGATTTCATTAATATTTGTAATCTAGAAAAACAGAACAAATAGAAGTTGAGAACAAAGAGGTGATTATAGAGGTTGGAAAGAGTGACAGGGAAGGAGGAACGAGGAAAGGTTATTTTTTTTTACAGGTAATAATTTATGCTCAACGGGCTTGCATTATAACACAGTGGGTAAAGTTGCTGCCTGCAACATCAGCATCCCATAAGACCACTGGTTTGTGTCTAGGCTGCTCCACTTCCAATCCAGTTCCCTGCTAATGTCTAGAAAAAGCAGTGGAAGGTGGCCCAAGTGTTAAGACGACACCTGGGATGCCTGTATCCCATACCAGAGAACCTGAATTAGTTACAGTTCTGCTCCAGATTTTAGTTCCCTGCTAATGCACAATCTGGAGG